AAATTAAAATATTAAATTACTGAACTTTTATCGAATTTTTGAATCATTTACAATTTCTCAAAAAAATTGAGAAAAAAATATTGAACCTTTCTAAATAATACTTCAAAAAAGTTCAAAACAGTAAACCTTCTTTTTCAAAATCAATACAACATTGTTTCAAATACGCGAACGCTTGGGCCGGCCCAACAGGAGTGAAGCCATTGCCTAAGTTGAACGAGGCCTAAGTTTTTTTTTCATTCTTCTTTTTTTTGTTAATTCATTTTTCTCTTGTTGAACATTATTATTGTTTTTGAAAACAGTTGAAATTTGAAAAATTGTTTGGATTACCAAAAAATGTTGTTGTTTTCAAATATTGTTTACAACTTTTAAAAATGTTCTGGAATTTCATAAAATGTTCCCTTTTTGATCTTTTTGTTCCCAAACTTAAGAAGTGTTTACGTCTAAAACAAAGTTGATAAATTTTATAAAAATTACTGTGTTTGCAATTTATGTTCAAATTTTTATCAAATTTTGGGAATTTGTTAACAACTTTGGAAAAAGTGTTCAAGTTTGTCAAATTTCATACACGATTTGAAATTTAAAAATTGTTGACAAATTTCAAGAAATGGTTATGATAGAAGAAAATGCTCATGTTCATTTATAATTGTAGAAATTGCAAACAACATAACCCTTTAAATTAGGAAAAACTACATGTTTACATATGCCCCCGTCTGGCTGAGTCTGCACACTCCTCTCAACTGGTTGTTTTTCGGACTATGGATAAGTGACAGGCACGAACATATGAGGCATCTATGCCAGGTTTGAATGACTTCCGACACTGTTTGCATGTTGCGATACATCCGGCTATTTATCAGCCCTTTTTCATAGAGAAAGCACTAGAAAATGCAAAACTTGTCAAAATCCAAATAGCTTAGCATGATGCTTTGGATTGGTCATAGAAGATGTAGGGAAAACTCTGGGCCATTTGCAGATGTTGAAAAACAACGAGCTTTCAAATGAATGTTTCTGGCCTATCCGAGCACATTCCATTGAACATGGTCTATTTATGGACATCCTTGAAATGACCCCAACTTTTGAAAGAAGGTGCACACACTCATGGTAGGCATCCATGCCTGGTTTGGGCGACTTTTGATACCGTATGCAAGTTGTGACACGAACTTTTTTTAACCGAGAAAAATCTAATGCAAAACTTTTCTAAAGCCCAAACAACTTGGCATGGTACCTTGAATTGGTCATACAAGGCCATAAAAAATTGGGTCCATTTTAAGGGATGTTGAGAAATGAAGATCTCCCAAAATGGAGCCTTCTCGCCTACTCGAACAATCTCCGCTGAACATTGTTTTTTTTGGAAACCGCGGGACTGATCCCAACTTTTGTAAGCAGGTGGCATGCCGATGTTAGGCATCTATGTATGGTTTGAATGACTTGCGACATCGTATGCATGTTGCGACACGTCCGGGCATCTATCGATATTTTTTCACTGGGAAAACTCCAGAAGATGCAAAAACTTTTCAAAAACCAAAATAACTTGGCATGGTGCTTTAAATTGGTCATGCAAAGCCATGGAAAATATTGGGTCCATTTCAAGGATATCAAGAAACAACGTGCTCTAAGGGCGGAGCATTTTGGCCTACCCAAACACCCTCCATTCAATATGAACTATTTTTGGACATCCTTCAAATGATGCCAACTTTTGCAAGAATGTGGGCATGCCCATGATCGGAATCGAACCAAAGTTTGAACGAATTCCGACAATGTTTGCACATTGCGACACGTCTGTCGATTTATCGGACTTTTTTCACTCTAGAAATGTAGAACTTATTGAAAAGCCAAATAACTTCGCATGTTGCCTTGAATTGGTCATACAAGGCCATGAAAAGAAATAGGGGTCATTTCAACGATGTTGGGAAACAACATGCTCTTAGACAGAGTCTTCTGACCTAACCAACCACGGTCCATTCAACATGGTATTTTTTAACATCCTTTAACGGACGCCAAATTTTGAAAGGATGTGTGCTTGCCCATGGTAGACATCCATGTCAAGTTTGAATGATCGCCAACACCATATGCAAGTTGCGACACGTCCGGCCATTTATCGACCGTGTTTGACTGAGAAAACTCTAGATAATGCAAAATTTGTCGAAACCAAAACAACTTGGCATGATGCTTTGAATTGGTCATACAAGGCCATGTGAAAAATTGGCACCATTTCAAGGATGTCAATGAACAACGTGCTCCCACACAGACCCTTCTGGCACTCGAACAACCTCCGTGAACATAGTGCTTTTTGGACATCTTGAAATGCCCCCAATTTTTTCCACCAGGTGGGCATGCCTATGGTAGGAATCCATGCCAGTTTGGAATGACTTCCGACACCGTAGCGAATTGTGACAAATCCCACTATTTATCTGTGTTTTTTGACCGGGAGAACTCCAAAAAATGCAAAGTTTATCAAAAACCAAAAAAACTTGGCACGGTGCCTTGAATTGGTCGTACAAGGTCATAAGATAAAAGTTGGGGCTAGTTCAAGGATTTTGAAAAACAACGTGCTCCCAAACAGACCTTCTGGCCTCCACCCGAACACCCTGTGTTGAACATGGTGCTTTTCTGGACATCCTTCAAATGACCCCAACTTTTTCCACTAGGTGAGCATGCCCATGGTAGGAAACTATGCCAGGTCAAAATGATTTCTGATATCGTATGCAAGTTGCGACTCATCTGGCCTTTTGTAGGCCTTTTAACAGAAAAACATTAGAGAATGCAAAACTTGTCGAAAACACTCGGTCATACGAGGCCATGAAAAAACTTTGGGCCATTTCAAGAATGTCGGGAAACAACATGCTCTCAGACAGAGCCTTTTGGCCTACCCGGACGCCCTCCATTGAGCATGGACTATTTTTGGACATTCTTGAAATGACCCAACTTTTCATGGGCCATGCCCATGGTCAGCATCCATGCCAGGTTTGAACGATTTCCGACATCGTATGCAAGTTGTGACACGTGTCACATGTCTGGCCATTTATCACCCTTTTTGACCGGGAAAACTCCAAAAAATGCAAAATTTATAGAAAAAGAAAACAACTCGGCATGGTGCATTGATTGGCCATAAATGAAAAAAAGGTAGTCATTTGACGGATATTGAGAAATACCCAGCTCTTAAACAGAGTTCCTGGTGTACCGAGCACCCTACATTGAACATGGTATTTTTTCTACACAAGTACAAAAAATGTTCATGGAAATTCTACAAAAAATAGGTTTCAGTTTTTCCCTATTTTTTTAATTCCAAATCTGTTAGTGCTTTTCAGAAAATTTTCAATTTTTTAAAAATGCCCTTGTTCAAAATTTGGTTCGCTATTTAAAAAGAATGTACGTACAGTTTTCTAAAATGTGAACATTTGTATTTTGTGAGCAAAAGTGAAAAGCGAACATTTTTTGATAAGTTGACATTTTTTTTAAAGCACAAACATTTTTTTAAAAAGATAAAAAGGAAAAAGATAAAAAAAGAAATAGAAACAAAAACCGAACAGAAGACCGGTTCGCTACAATAAACAGGTCACCGAGGGATAGTTCTAATAGTTCGCGTTTCCTAGTTAGACGCTGAAGTTTATCAGCTAGTGTGTCTAACGGCGAGCAGTCAATAGCCGGAGTTACAGGATTTGATCCCTCGCACTGCCACTTATTTTTGTTGAATTTTTCTATGTTTTCGTGCATGACAATGGGCTTACCTAGTCAGGCAGCCTCATTTGGGTGGCGCCATCTATTTGAAATAGTTCATAGATTTGAAATAAAATGTAAAATTTGAAAAAGAAAGTTTGTGAAGTTGGCAAAAGATTCACACATTTGAGAAAAATCACGAATAATAGTTTCAAATTTGAAAAATTCCACACATTTAAAGAAATCCGAAAAAGGGAAAAAGTGAAAAATAGAAACAGAAAAAAGAAAGAGAAAGAGAAAATAAAAACCGGGTAAAACCAGCCAAAGGAAACCGCAAGAAAAAGGAAAACTAGAGTCATTCTATTTAGCGTTCCATTTGAGATAGAACAAAAGAAGAAAAAGAAGTAACTAGCCGAAGAATTAGTTGTGTCCAAGTAGGATACCTCTGCTTGTTATAAGCGAAGAGGTCTGGAGTTTGATTCTCAATGGCTGTACCTTTTTTTAAGCTTTACAGAGAGAAAAAAAGTGTAAATGCGCCGGCTGAGGACAGAGAGGGGTGTTAAGGCGCGGAATAGGATCCAAGTACAGCGTATAAGTTCTGGCAGATGACCCATCATCTATATGAAAATGGGTATAATTTGCCAAAGGTCAATGTTGCCTCCTATACGCTTAATGGGGTTATACCGAAGCGGGGCTCAAAGAAATTAGCGCATCAGCGGGCACCTAGAGGTGCACCTCAAAACCTAGTCATGACCCTTCACACGACGAGACCTGACACTAAATAGTTTTTCTTGGGGACTATCAAGTTACGGCGGTCTTGCATTATTTTTGCGTTCTCATGGGATAGCGAGTAAACAGTTTTTCTTTCGACCTCGATGCAAGGAGAAAGACTGGAAGACTGAGATGGGATCGGCCTCCTCTATCTCTACGCAAGAGAAGAAGAAGACTAGCTCGGGGTCTTCTCTTTCTCTTTTCTTTGCCCCCAAGTGGATTCCTATAATTTATGGTTGCGTGACGTGGGTGGGGTGCATAGATAAAACCTATCCCCCTCGCAATGTATTGTCAGCTGGCCGTTGAAGGAATCAATCCCCCAACACAACTCATCATGGATCTCATTTCTTGATCCACCTGCTGCTGGTCTTCTCTGCTAGCTGCAGCCTGCGGCCGAGACGGTGGATCATCTCATCGACCATTTCTCCGGCACATTAAGCCAAGCCATGTAAGTCTTAATATCCTCCACTGAATACTCGTATTACCGTGCTTCTAGAAAAGTTCGCATTAGTAGCTTTCCTTGCATACACTTAAAAGTCGTCGTCATCGTCGTTGCCCATTTCAGTTGAGAAGCAATGGCAGCAGGACTAGATGCGCTAGTGCCGTTCTGGAAGGAGTGGGGAATCCAGATGCTGGTGCTGCTGAGTTTAGCACTGCAGGTGATTCTCCTCATCACGGCGGAGATCCGCCGTCGCAAAGACTCCAGTGTGCTAAGGGCCGTTGTGTGGTCGGCGTACCTGCTGGCCGACACAACGGCCATATACACTCTAGGCCATATGTCGGTGACCAGCAGGTCGCCGGAGCACGAGCTGGTGGCGTTCTGGGCGCCGTTCCTGCTGCTGCACCTCGGTGGCCAGGACAACATTACCGCCTACTCCATCGAGGACAACTGGCTGTGGATGCGTCACCTGCAGAGTTTCATCGTGCAGGTCCTCGCGGCTGCCTATGTCCTCTACGAGTCGTCCATCTTTTCAGGTGGCGGCCGGGGCATGCTCCAGCAGGCCACCATACTCATGTTCGTGGTTGGTGTTGTCAAGTATGCGGAGAGAGTGTGGGCGCTCAAGTGTGCCAGCAGCAGTACACTATCCGGGAAGAACTACCGTAGTTTTGGCAGGGTGGTTATAGAAGGACGACAAAGGTACCGGACTGGAATGATTCAGTCGGGATCGAGTCTAGCTATTCTTCTGTTGAACATTCCCAAGCATCTACTTAAGGGGCCGTTACCTCTTGTGACAGTTGACTGGATTGTAGATATTGACTGGAAGCAGATGTACCATGTAGCCGAGATCCAGCTCTCGTTGATGCATGACGTCTTCTACAGCAAAGCTGAGTTGATCCATAGTTGGTATGGGTACTGCATCCGCCTCACCTCACTGCCAGCCACTGTCACCGCATTGCGGCTGTTCGTTCGATTCACTGGCAAAGATGGTTACAACAGAGTAGATGTGGCTGCCACTTATGTTTTGCTAGCTGGAGCCGTCGTCCTGGAGATCATATCAATGCTGAGGGCCATGTTCTCCACCTGGATATACCAGCATATGATGACAATAAGGCGTGGTCGTCCTGGTGTTAGCACAGTATTATTACTTTATTTGTTTCATCTTGTATCTAGATCTGGGGAGTTTGTCAGATATGCAATACGGAGAGTACGAATGCCTACGAGGTACTGGGCAGGCACCATGGGGCAACACAACTTTATTTACATGTGCAGCCAATGCAAGGACAACCGAAGCAGCAAAGTCGCGAGATGGTTGGGACGGGAGGACTGGTGGAACACACTGGTTTACACATCCTCGTCTGTCCCCGTACCGGCACATTTCAGTCACCTGCTGAAGAAACAACTGAGGGAAAGTGTGGGCGTCGACGAAGAGAACCCAGACCACATCCAAAACTCACGGGGTCGGGCGGCGTTGAAGAAGAGGGGGTTCTATGAGGAGTTGCTGGCCTGTGAAAGATATGAAGCGTTCCTACTCCATCGAGGGAGCCGCGTGGTAGTTTATATTGATGCGTGGCCGAAGCCTGGCTTGACGTACAAGGTTATGACAGAAAGAGTTTGGGTAGAATACAAGAGAAGGAAGGAGGTTGAGATTACAACTCTATATTCTAACACCCTCCCTTAATCTCAACTAACCTAAGTTAAGATTACTCTTGAATTCTTCAAATGGTCTTGCTGGTAGTGCTTTTGTAAAATCGTCAGCCACTTGATCCTTAGAAGGAATAAATCGAATCTCAAGTTTCCTTGCCGCAACCCTTTCTCGTACAAAGTGAAAATCAATTTCTATGTGCTTTGTCCTGGCATGGAACACTGGATTTGCAGACAGATATGTTGCTCCCAAATTATCACACCATAAACATGAGATACGATTCTTCTTGATTCCCAATTCCTCAAGAAGTGATTCAACCCAAATGATCTCAGCAGTTGCATTAGCCAAAGACTTGTATTCAGCTTCTGTACTTGAGCGTGACACAGTAGCTTGCTTTCTAGCACTCAGGAGATAAGATTAGATCCAAAGAACACTGCAAAACCTCCAGTTGATCTTCTATCATCACTACATCCTGCCCAGTCAGCATCAGAGAATGCACTCACAAGAGAAGAATTAGACCGTTTGAAATGAAGTCCTATTCCCATAGTATGTTTCACATATCTCACAATCCTCTTGACAGCTGACCAATGTGCAGAAGTAGGTGCATGAAGATATTGACAAACCTTGTTGACAGCAAATGAGATATCTGGACGTGTGAGAGTTAAATATTGTAGTGCTCCCACAGTACTCCTATACCTTGTACTCTCCTCCTCTTGAAGTGGCTCACCCTCATATGCTGAGAGACTTTCTGAGGAGGATAAAGGTGTAGACATTGACTTGCAATTTTTCATCCCCATGCGAGACAGAAGCTCAAGAATATATTTTTCCTGATTTAACACAATACCATCTTGAGTTTTCTTGACTTCAATACCCAAGAAGAAATGCAAATCACCTAGGTCCTTCAAGGCAAACTCTGAGCTCAAATCATGCAAAAGAGCATTAGTAGCATTTTGTGAAGAACTTGTAACTATGATATCATCAACATATATAAGCACAAAAATGACTACTCCTGCCTTGTTATAAATAAACAAGGATGTGTCAGCCTTGGAAGCAACAAAGCCAAGTATTTTAACTGTGAGCTCAATCTGGAATACCATGCTCTGGGTGCTTGCTTTAGACCATAGAGTGCTTTATCAAGCTTGCAGACATACTGTGGCAATTTCTTACTCTCATACCCAGGTGGTTGTCTCATAAACACTTCCTCTTCCAGAACACCATGCAGAAACGCATTCTGTACATCTAGCTGCCTTAAACTCCATCCTCTGGATACAGCAATGGCTAACACAAGTCTGATAGTTGCAGCTTTCGCAACGGGACTAAAGGTGTCCTCATAGTCAATGCCATAACGTTGCTTAAAGCCCTTTGCAACTAGACGTGCCTTATATCTGTCAATGGAGCCATCTGCCTTCTTCTTAATTCTATACACCCATTTGCCATCAATAATATTTTTACCTCTCTGATTTGGTACAAGATGCCAAGTCTTATTCCTCATGAGCGCAGAATACTCCTCATCCATTGCCTTTTTCCATTTAGGATCATCAAGTGCATTCTTCAACGATGTTGGTTCTCCTGAAATACACAACATTCCATATGGTATAGTTCCATCTTTCCTAATTTTAGGATTCCGTATACCTTTCTGTAGCCGGGTCATAACACGTGAAGAAACCTCTCGCTGCACCGCTGGTATACTTGCCACAGAAGATCCAGGAGAATCTGCTGATGCAGTGGACTGATTTGTCGTCATATGCGCAGGGGATCCTATGGCTTCTGGTGTGGCTGCCCCTCCTGCAGGCACTGGCGCAGAGGATCCGCCACCCGACCGCGACTGGAGGCGCGCGTGATGCGGAGAGGATCTGGTCCCGCCGCTGGTCCCGTCTGACGCTGGCGCGCGGGGCGAGGGGGATTCGGCCCCGCTGCTGGTCCCGTCTGAAGCTGACGCGGCAGCACGGGAGTGGCCCGCCCTGGATCCAGGACTGGAGCCATCAGGGGCTTGATCCGAGGCGGATGCGGTCGCGGGATCCGAGATCTGCGCGCGTGCAGGGGTGGCAGGCGCCGCCAGATCTTCTTCGTCATCTGTGCCAGCTTCGTCTCCTTCCTCAGCATGAAATATAGGATCAAAACCAGCCATATTTTCGAGATCTTGGTCATTTTGAGCACCGTTTTCTCCAGGGACCTGCACAGGCATAAGAGAAAGACTAGTACCAGCAGGAATATCATCACATTGGTTAGTACAATTGTTGTCGCCCCCATGATCAAAAGACCGAAGATGTGAAGGAAGAAGAAGAATTTCTTTGCGGAGAAGTGCACCAGCATTAGGATGAAGGGATACAAAGGGAAACACGGACTCATCAAATACAACATCTCTGGATATATACACCCGACCAGTAGGAACATCAAGGCACTTAACCCCTTTATGCATGGGGCTATAGCCTAAAAAGACACACCGTTTTGAGCGGAAAGCGAGTTTGCGTGTGTTGTAAGGCCTAAGATTGGGCCAACAGGCACAACCAAAAATACGAAGAGATGTATAGTTGGGTGTGACACCAAGAAGTCGTGTAATGGGTGTTTCAAATTTGATAACTTTACTTGGAAGCAAGTTGATGAGATATGTAGCAGTTAAGAATGCTTCATCCCAAAATTTAAGCGGCATGGAAGCATTTGCTAACAAGGCAAGCCCCATATCAACTATGTGACGGTGCTTTCTTTCAGCGGATCCATTTTGTTGGTGAGCATGAGGACAAGATACATGGTGTGATATGCCAAGCTTTTGAAAGAAAGAATTTAGTTTTTCATACTCACCACCCCAGTCACTTTGCATAGCAATGATTTTAGAGTTCAGTTTGCGTTCAACAAGATTTTGGAAATTGAGGAAAACTTGGAATACATCAGATCGCTTTTTCAACAGATAAATCCAAGTGAATTTACTATAGTCATCAATAAAACTTACATAATAGGAAAATCTACCAACTGAAATAGGAGCTGGCCCCCATACATCTGAAAAGATAAGTTGTAAAGGGGCAGTAGACACACTAGTAGAAATTGGGTAAGGTAATTGATGAATTTTTGCTTGTTGACACGGATCACAAACTAACTCACTACTAGGCTCATAAGAGAGTTTATTTTTGTTAAGAACATATCTAACTATGACTGAAGATGGATGACCTAAACGACTATGCCACCTTGATGTAGATAGGTTGGTGACAATATTTGCTTGTTTATTGGACCATGAAGATGATGATGATGATGATGATATGAGTGGGTAGAGTCCTCCCACGCACCGTCCTCTAAGAATGACTCTCCTTGTTTTCAAGTCCTTAACCAAGAAAAAATAAGGATAGAACTCAATAAGAACATTGTTATCAAGAGTGAATCGATGAACGGAAACAAGATTTTTAGAGGTTTGAGGAACATGCAAGACATTGGTCAAGTGTAAATTTTTCACGGGGGTTTTAACAATTGAACTGCCAATGTGTGTGATATCCATACCAGAACCGCTTGCCGTGCGAATTTGGTCGCCTCCATTGTACTTCTCCCGCATCGTCAACTTGTCAAGTTCACCTGTGATGTGGTTTGTTGCTGCACTGTCGGCGTACCAGTTGGTGTCCACGCCATAGGAGGCTGCATGTGCTTGCTTTTCTTCCTGGTCGTTTTCTTCATAACGCCACCAGCAAACTCGTGCACCTCCTGGATGGTGTCTGTAGCATATCTGACATTCTGGATAGTCATGCTGTTGCTCACGAGCCTGCTGTTGCTGTTGCTGTCGAGGACGGCCTCTGAATCCGCCGCCTCCATTGGAGGAAGACGACTGTCGGTCACCGCGGTCACCACGATCACCACGGCCACGGCCTCTTCCTCCACGCCCGCGAGATCTGCCACGGGACTGGCCACGGCCTCTGTAGACCGCATTAGCGGATGAATAGAACCCGCCTGAAGATGAGTCGCCTAGCATCTCCATCCTTTGATCAAAGGCAGCAATCTGGGCAAAAAGATCGTCGGCTGTGATGATGTTTTTGACAGCGCCGATCGCCGCCACCACGGGGTCGTAGTCGCGGTCCAGTCCGGCTAGAATATAGTCCACCATCTCCGGATCAGATACGGGACGACCTGCAGCAGCTAGTTCATCCCCAAGACTTTTCATCTTCGCCATATACGCCGAGCTTGACATCGAGCCCTTCTTGGTATTGGTGATGGCGATTCTCAGATTAGTAATCCGAGACTGAGATTGTGAGACGAAGAGATTTGTCACCGTCGTCCAGAGCTCAAAGGTGGAATCTTTCCCAACAACTTGTGCAAGAATTTCTGGAGACATGGAATTGAGAAGGTATGATAGAACCTGCTGATCTTTGGCGATCCAGGGTCCGTATAGGGGATTCGGCTCTAGGGCCGTGGTCTTGTCTGCCTTCGTGATCTCCACCATCTTGGGTGGAGCGGCATCGGTGTTGTCCAGGAGCCCCGTCACCTGCGCGCCTCGCAGGGCTGGGAGGACCTGCGTCTTCCAGAGGATGAAATTACCTCTTGCGAGCTTCTCAGACGGCGGCGATCCAAGGTTGAGGGAGACGCCGGCGGAGGAAGCCATGGAGACGATGATGTGTGGTTTCTAGGGTTTTGGATTGTGGCTAGATGTATGAGAAGAGGTGGCTCTGATTACCATGAAAGATATGAAGCGTTCCTACTCCATCGAGGGAGCCGCGTGGTAGTTTATATTGATGCGTGGCCGAAGTCTGGCTTGACGTACAAGGTTATGACAGAAAGAGTTTGGGTAGAATACAAGAGAAGGAAGGAGGTTGAGATTACAACTCTATATTCTAACAGCCTGGAGCATGGACACTGAGCTGGACGAGAGCATCCTCATCTGGCACATCGCCACTCATGTTTACTTCACCTGGTACGAGGTGAAACACGGAAGCCTGCCGCATCTCGCAAAGGTTACCCAGGAGGTGTCCAACTATATGATGTTTCTGCTCACCTCACGTCCCTACATGTTGCACAATGCTAGTCGCCAAAAGTATATTGAACTGTGCAACATGGTGATCTAT